TTCTTTTCTCCCTTGGAGAACACGTACCACCAGCAGAGTCTCCCTATGCCTGAAGAAGGGCGTTTGAGCCTGAAAGTTTGCAAAGAACATTATTTCCAACTATTCAGTTGGTCTAATAAAAGATATCATACCTACTGTAAGAACCTTGCCCACAAGATTATTTTAATGCTTCTATTTACTTCCCATATTTTTAAGTTGCCTGGGACGATACAAAACATTATACTCTATTATTGAAAAATTGCTGATTATTAAGGGACAGCATGTAAGAAGCACTTACGAATGTCGGTTTATTTAGTGTTCTTTAAAATATTTCATCATTAAAAGTGGTTTCTCAAGTGGGAAATGCTTATTCAATTTAATTCTATTTAATTTCCTTTGGTACAAAATGTTGTTGATATCTAATTTATCTTACTACAGAGGAATCTATATCGACTACTTTTTTTTCCCCCCCTCCCCCTTGAGCAGCTTCCTTACTTAAGGTCAGAAACAAATGAGGGAAGGCTGTTTCAATAAGTAAATAGACATCACATTTTACAACAGAAATTTGAAGTGGCCTTTGCCTAAATGGATATTATGGTTTCTTCCCACTTCTCTGCTACTTAAAAAAAAAAAAAAAAGCAGTTTCCCCTGACAGGGAAGAGCAAAGGCATTTGTTTCTCAAACGCTTAATGGCAAATATTCATCCGCAGATTACAAATTGATGATGACTATGCAGTGCTTCCACCTATGGATCAGCTCATGCAGTACAAAAACCAAACTGAACAGAAAGTGACTTTCAGCGAGTATGGCAAATGAATTATAGGCATGCTGGGATTGAACTGCGGACTCACCATGGAGCTTTTATAGAAAAACATCCTGCTCCAAACAGGTAAGGTCTTCACGTAAGGGGGAAAAATGCACAGAAATTAGATGAAAACTCATTATCGGCAAGTACAGAGCAAAGCACGCTATTAAGATTTAAGCTAAATGGTAAATAAAATCATTTCCATAACTCTTTGCGGTGCCCTGGGAAGCATGGAGGACTCGGATGCAACCACCATGCTGACGAGGGCCAGATCCTCCGTGCGCTCACGTGAGCACTCCCACGGACAGCAGTGGGTCAACCCACAGAAGCACATCTTTAGGCAGCAAATGCTGTGATAACAGTATCCATCTGCTGCCAGAAGTGTTTAAATAGGTGATATGTTTTGAAAAAGTTAGATGCAGTATATAATTTTCCTTCCTAAAATACTCTGGCTGTGCCTCCTGAGAGGCACTATAGAGGAAATGCACAGTCAAGTGCCTTGAAAAGGTGTCAACGTCAAAAGGAGCAGCAGACAAAGTAAATTAGCTTCAACAGAGATAGATGTGCAGGGGCTTGTCAGGAGATATTGCAAACCTACCGACAGGAGTTGCAAAACAAATATGCCACAAAGAGGTCTGTCCTAAACCATATTAATTTTGGATACAACAGCAAGTTCATTAGACAGAATCCCCTTTTTCCCCTACTACAAAAAAAAAAATACAATATAAGAAATGAAAATGCATAATAGTGGTATAATACGTCGGGGGTGGACTCCTGACAAGCGAATTTGAAATGCAGCCAAGAATTTACTATTCCATCCAGGAAGCGCACACACCAACTGCAGATGCTTCCTCGGGTTTTTATACCCAAAAGCTTGCAAAGAAGAATTCTTTCCAACTATTTGAATTGGTCAGATAAAAGATATCAGATTTACCCGAAGAACCTTGTCTGCAAAGAAAGGAAGCACTAATTTTAAGTGCACCTGATTTAAAAATCATGTGATACAAAAAATAATACTGATGCAATATCTTAGTGAGTGTGGCTAATTTCTGTCTATATCATCACAACATCTGTTTTAAGAACTATTTCCCATAGTGTATAGTTTTTAAAAGCGCATGTCCCTCCACCAATTTATAGCGGGCATTTTTGCTGGTGTATAAAGCACCCTGACATTAGTGTAGAAGGAAGTCAAATTTTCAGCCTGTTCTAGGTTCAATGATTCTCTCATTCTTCTTTGGGGCACTGGCACTGCCTGTATAATTGCTGAAATAAATATTTTTGAAATGCAAGTGTGTCCTGATGTGTTCCTACACCTTGGAAATGAAACCAGAGGTCTATCACAAGGACAAGAAGTAGGTGCTTAGCCATACACTTATATCAACGATACGCAGACAGAGCAGGTGTAGTCAATTTGACATGAGAGCAGAAGTACTGAACACAGGCAAGCAGTTATGTCGAGGTTAAGAATACTAAAACTTTCGATGTGCATGGTTATGGAACTGAAGACACAAATAACTACATTGCCAAGATCATTACAACTTATTTATGTGTCAAACCATTTTCCAGCGATGGCAGGGCAGGCTTAAGTTTTGTAGGCCAAAAACCAAGTTACAGGTTTTGCAAAATCTGCAGCTTTCTATGTGTAATAACTGGTCTGTTCATTGATGATATTCATTTACATATACAGTTTGGTCCCAGTCCCACGTAAAGGTCTGGTAGAGTAGAAGGAGCTCCATTTCAGGACCCACCAAACTCTATAGCAAAGATGCCAACATCCAATTATATTGCATAAACTGATCCCTAATATAGACAGCAAGTTAAGATTAAAAATCCATTCCAAGTATTCACCTGAAGAGTAACAAAGTGGTGGTGTACTTAAATCTTTAACCTATAACCGAACTATCCACTTCCGTACGTAAGCCATTATTAAAGTACTCAACAGCCTAGGATCTGTCTGGCTTACATCAGACGAACCAAAAGCTGGTGGTTGAATTGTGAGACTGGGAACCAGGAATTTTTGAGCTGTAAATCTTGACTATAACACTGATTCCTGTCTTTTACCTTTGGCAAATCATTTTACTTCTCTGCCTCAGTTTCTCCTTCTGTAAAAACAGGGAAGAGAACACTTACCCGAGATCACAGGGACATTGTAAAATTAAACACGTTTGAAAATAATAGAACAAATTATTATTAAACGTAACATCTTAGCATGCAAAATGTTTTTAATCACCAAACCTGCTGTTGCATTTAAAGGGGGAAAAACTCAAAAGAAAATGACCAAGACAGATTTATCCCGAAGGGGGCATTTTCAATGGAGATTAGAATTTTTGTACTGCTAAGAGAAAATGCAGTTACATTTCAGACCAGGAGCTTACACCCTTAATATAGAGCTGGTATACGTGAGATAGCACAGCAGTTTAGCCAGGTCTCTGTCTGTTTCCTAAGATTACAATTCAGTTGTGTGATCTTTTATACAACCAAGCAACTGAACGTGTATCATGATTTCTTTCGTGTATCATGGTTGGTGTGTTAATAAAAAAAGACAACGTACAAATTTCACGAGAACCCATCCTTGGACAGGCAGCACCAGATGGCTATGCACGGTGACAATAACACACCAATGTCAAGGCAAAAAAAACCCGTTACTCAAATTCTACATTCTGGTGACTCTAATCTCATAGTGCATGTTTGAGATGGTGTACAACATTGCTTTCCTGTGGAAAGCTACCAAATCAAGGTGATGAGGATTCAAAATCCCAACAGTATTTTTAGTTTCTCACCCAATTTTAAAGCTGATGGTAAGGAAATCCAAAACCACTTAGCACGTTGAAAAAACTATTTAAGAGCTTAATAAACCCATCAATTTCTATTCTACCCTAAACTTCCCATGGCCATAATGTCTCTCTTAATCTAGGATCCTTTTATAAAACACAGCAACAGTTGGGCAAAATGCAATCTATTAACTCATGCAAACTATAAAGAATTAGTATTGCCTCTTTAGGACTCAGCTCTTAAAAATCATCTATAAGCATGTGTGAGAAATGTGCCCAAAGCAGAAAGTTTTCCATAAAGATCCAGGCAAACTGATCTTTTTACTAAGATTGAGTTTTAATTTGTGGATATTTTGAGTTGCTGCTGCCTACTAAACTGGATTATGACATTGCTCTTCTCATTTTTGTTCGCATCAGTAATCAAACCTGGGATAAATTAAACTCTTCAGAGTCAAAATACATCAAACGGATATCAATGATTTTCTGAACAAATAGTACATGCGATGGGAAACATTAAAATGATAAAAATCTCAGCCTGATTCAACATCAGAGACTTCATCTACTTCTCCCTCTCCTTATAAAAAAGAAAAGTGAGGGGAGGGAGAAGGGATAGGGTTTCATGTATATAAACTTTCTAGCTAAACCTTTCAGGGGGAAAAATCAGATTTGTTCCCGCTCTTGTAAGAAACATTGTAAGTCTTTGTTTTGGCAAGAGACTACTAAAGAAATAGACATCTTGGGGTTTCAAAGTAGTTATATTCTATTTGAGACTGAAGTATGATACCACCATAAATGACCATCCCTCGAGAAAGTAAAAATAAATGCTGCTGTCAGAATAGCAAACATTTACAAGAGGTTTTTTTTTTCTTCTCTCTTTAGCAATTACTTTATCATTTATTTCTCCCTTTCCTATTACAGCTCATCTATTTTTCTATAGTCTTATGACTAGGAACGAAATACAGTTTACTTAACTGACACAGGGCATGCTTAGAGGATGCCAACTGCAAAAAAAAAAAAAAGCTTTCTTCTGACAATTATATTCAAACATTGCCCTTTATTTTTTTTAAACAAACATAAAAACTGATCATCTCGTTTTCTATTTCATCCCTGAATAACATTAAGCAATAACAATCCTTTTTGCCTTTAAATGGAATTGTCCCTTTTGGGATCTACACGAACTTTGTAAAAACTTCATGAATTACCTGCGTGACACTCTTATGAGAAGAATCAAAATGACTGTTCCCAAGTCAAGAGGGAAACTGAGACACAGAAGATCAGCAACTTACCTAACTTAGATACACCAGCCCCCAGTCCTACACCTCACCCACAAAATCATTTCCACTCCTTCCTTATTATTCTCTTTGGGAAACCTTGTCTGTTGCTCAGAAAAGGCAGAGAGGACAAACTAACGGGAAATGAGACAGGCTACGGTATGCAGGGGCAAGAGACATGGAAATGGAGATGGAGAACTGAAAAGGCAAGGCAAGGAGAGGCACCAAGGAAACAACAGCCATGGGTAATGAGGGAAGCTATATTTTGTAGTAAGCTGAGCCTGAGACAGTTAACACTACAGGCATAACCTGCATTCATGAATGATCAGAAAATGCTCTGAGTTCTGCATGTTTATATGACAAAAAAATGCATCGGTGATAAACACGGTAATGACTCATCTCCTGATTCTGCTCTTTCATTCCCACGGGGTTAGTATGAAGCTGTTCTTCAAGTTTACTACTCCCCTCTTGTCAAGAAGGGCAACGTATTCTGGCAATTTAATGTGAGATAGATAATATTAATGGCCACAATTAATCTTTTTGCATGGAAAAATAAACATCTTGTTTGGGGTAAAAATCAGAAAGAAAAAAAACCAAAAAACTTGAGTATTTGCTGAATGCAAATAATTATACCAAACATCTGTGAACTTTTGTTGTAGGATTCTAAAGGAAAAGGGGAAAATCTAACCACCAAGGAAAATCCCACACTAGGAGTTCTGTTATTGCTTTAGTCTCGCTTTCTTTTTCATGTCTGGAATCGTATTGTAGCAGAATGAAGTCCTGAGTCTTGAAAAGCAACTGAAAAAATAAAAGGAATCTGTTCTGAAGGCCATTGTACAGGAATGATCAAATCCAACTGATTTCATACAATTTCTCCTGTTCTGATCACTGCGCAATCACAAGGTTAAGCAGCTGCTCCCAAAGAGCGCCTTGTTTCCTTGAAGCGCTGCTTAAAGGTGCTGACCATGTAGGTGTAAATACATCTGTCTTTTGCCATTTGTAGTAATACATGCCTCCTCCGCTTCTCAGAGGTAGGCAGATGGTCCCTGTCCTGTCTAAATATTACACTGTACAGACTTACATTGCTATGTGTTTCTAGAAATATGAGGGCAGATGTTAAATATGTTAAACACACGCTTTGCCCCCTGGAGGTTTAAGTTAAGGCTGCTGTCTCAATTTGGCCGTTTTAGGCATGCCAGGCTTCTTGGATCCTAGGCATTCCTTTTAAATCCCTGCTTTGTAAATAGAGCTTTTCATGTTAATTTTGTGTACTTTCATCAAATATCTTGGACATAGAACAAATGCAGGCAGCATTAAGCTTAGCATTACACATTTATACAGGATTTGCTGAAAATTATGAGCCTCATTCATGAAAATTGTAGTTCCACAGTTGGGGTCCTTTCAGTGATTGCTGCTTTCTTATGCGAGTCTCGCTGAACGATTTATATTCAATTCATTAAAAGACATGAACAAAATAATAGGAGAGAAGCACCTGTGGGAAGTATGAGTGAAATTCTTTTAACTCACTTAAGAGACATAAAAAATAAAAATGTAAAAACAAAAGGAAAGGGTTCTTGTCTCTACCTCAGCAGAGCAAAATTTCTAAGGCTCCACCTCTTCAATAAGTGGCCTGTGTAAATGCAACAATTATTCCCACGAACCAAGTAGCTGAGCTCACACTCATGCAATGTTGACACATTTTCTTTTCTCTATTGCTCCAACTACATTACTCACTTCCTCAAGACCCTTAACTGATTTCCCGCCTCCTTCAGTTATGTATCTTCATTTCAAAGGGATTTATCAATGCAGTTCAAACTCCCTGGTCTCATCTTTTCTCCCCTTTCTCATCAGTTCCATGTATGCTTCATCCTATGCTTCTTCCAGTTCCTTTGTTTGACACTTTTGGCTCCTTCTAGCAGTTATGACTTGGGTGCTTTTCTGATGCACACCAAACCTTTCCAATTTATTGTTCATTAGAGCTCCTCTCCACACCCACTCCCACTGGGGTTGCCACCTGTCTGCACAGTTATGGACAGTCTGTAAAAAAAAAAAAAACCCAACCCAAAACAAGACTAAAAATGCCTATCTAAATTCTGTAAATAAATAAATAAAAATGGAGCTGTCCATAAAAAAGGTAAGCAACTGTGAGCTCAGCTCAAGATCCATCATCTGAACACAGCCACTTGGTGTCTAAGCAGGAGCACAGCTCAGCACTAGGGCTGTGTGAAGCTTTGGTCGCTGATTCGATTCAGATTCTCTGAATCCAAATCGAATCGGGAGACCCTTTAATCTCTCTGAATCAAAATCGGAACCCTCCAAATCAACTTGGAGAGATTCAGAAAGATTCGAAGATTCAGGCATAGACACAGCTTTAAATGGTTTTTCTACATACCTCAAGGTACCAGGCAGCTCGTGAATGCTGTGACAGAAGGAGTGTCCCACAGGAGTAAGGGGCGGGGGGAGGGTAGTAAAAACATTTAAAGCTGTGTCTATGGCCAAATCGCTGATTCTCTGAATCAGCATCGAATCTTCAGATTCGGACGAATCGAATTGGGACAGTGATCCAAATCAACGACTTGAATCACTACTCCTGATTCGGACCGAATCCGAATCAAATACGCCCCTTTTCACACATCCCTACTCGGCACCCTTCACAGATGACTCTCCTCAAGACTTTGATGCCCAAGCAGCCTCTGTAGCCCCCTCTTCCTCTCAGCCATGTGCTGCTCCAGCAGCTGTGTCCCATCACCTGCCTCTAATACCGCTCACCATCAGATAGGCAGGGCCATGTGGTCCTGGGCAAAACAGTGATGGAGTGGTGCAGCTTAGACAGAGCTGTAGGGCCAGGTGTCTGTGCAGGGACAAAGGCAGTGGGGTTAGTAGAGGTAAGGCTGGGTGGCGATCTGGAGGGGGCAGCAGGGTACAATCAGGGGTATCAGGATGTGGAGATGACAAGGGGACCCCTGGGGTGGAGGCAGCACTCTGTAAAACCACTGCTGCAGTCAAGCAGGGTTGCCAACCCAAGAACAGGGTGGGGTTTTTTGTTTTTTTTTACTAACAATCTGAAAACTTTTTACAGACAACCTTTTACAAAACTTGTTTTTTGTTGTTGTTGTTTTGTTTTTTTCCTATGGTTGGTGTTAAAACCCTGAATTTGAACCTGGTCTTTTTTACTGCCATCCAGGGCCTGGCAGAAGGCTTATATTGTTACATTTAGATCATGTAAAACATGTCAGTAAAGAGTTTGCAGACTGTCAGAAAAAAAAAAAAAAGTTGGGTTGGCAACCCTGAAGCTCATCCTCCAGCACTCACCTCCATCCTGGTACAATCCATTTTCCTATTTCATCTGTGATTATATTTTAAGTCAAAATATAATGACAAAATGATTTGACCTGAAGGTCTGACAAAACTTTTACCTGGAACAGGAAGAATAAGATTGGGTAGTTAAGACTATACAATCCTTAGACCTACTCAGGCACATCTGTGATATAATTCTGTAAAAAAATAAATAAAAATGGAGCTGTCCATAAAAAGGTAAGCAACTAATTATATATTAATAATATATAATTAATATATTTTACAAAATAACCTAAACATTAATCAGAGAACACAGGTAATCAGCTAGGATTAAAGGCATGATCCTGAAGTCTTTAGTCAGCAAGTAGGCGCATGACATTTAAAGAACCTCTGATCCTAACAATAGTGCCTCCTGCCACGCCACAGATGCACAGCATGATGCACAATTGCAGAATAAGGAATTGGATCCCAGTCATGCCTTTTCTACTGTCCCCTGCACCAACATGTTGAAAGCCAAGTGCCTGCTGCCCAGCATAACCCAGTGCACTTGTGGGGCCAGGGCTGATAATCACCTGACTGTTGGTTCTTGCCCTGGGGCAGCCCGGGACCTGCCACACGTTCAATTTAAGGTGCCATACAAACCAGACAAGAAATATTCTACATTATATGTGGAACATTTTTATGGCTGGTTTGCCATTTTAAGACCCCTTAAACTGGGTATGTGTGTAGCAACCTTGCCATTTATGCCTTGATTAATACTTTAATTGAGGCATAAATGTAACGTGCAGAGAGGCCCTTACTCAATTAAAATCTCTACTCTAAGGCACTAACGGGGAATTTCACCCATCCCAACATGAAATTTAAGTAATTTAATTCTCAGCAGGAAACTAAGAAAAGCTGGTAAAATGATATACACTCTGCACCCTCAAACTCAAGGGACAGGCTGCAGACATCCATCTCCTCCACTATTCCATCCAACCATCATAGGGACGGGGCAGAGCCACTGGAACCCTATAAGCACATCTCTCATAAATGCAGAAATCTCAGTCAATAAGAGAACGACTGAGTCAGACTTTTAAAATAAAATTCTAACTAGCAACCCTCCAGGGAATTGAGCTTCTCCAGAAAGGAAAACAAAAATCAATGATTAATGAGAGATTGTCTGTATGAGCTGCAGAAACTGGATATTTCAGACTTCTCCAGAGACAACTGACCGTGTGATCAATTTTGGGGGCCAATAGTCCAAAATTTTAAAATTCATGAAATCAGAACTTTGGGCTCTCTCAGCGACGCATGCACTGACTGATAGTTCACGCAGGGCTGACCAAATGCCCAGAATTCTCTTAATAATGACAATGTATACCTATTCAGGAGCATTTGCCATATGAAAGCGTCTCATGGAGCTTTATGCACTGTACCTAGACAATTATGAAAATGCAGCTGATTCTGAAGTAAATGAATGATGGAAGTCAACAAGCAAAGAGCATTCAGCAGAACATTAGGGGAACAGGATTTGTTTAAGCCCCCGGGAGCAAACTCTTCCACCTTTGAAAAGTCCCATGGGCTTTTTACTGGCTATGGGGAGGAGAATTTATATTTGTGACCGCCTCAAGTGTGGGCACTTCAAACCTGAGCCTTAGCCTATTGTACTAAGTTGAGAGACTGAGATGAAGAATGCTGTGGGGATAATCCATTGAGACCAGGGTCTCTTGTAGCTCCTAGGAGTGACCCTGGGGACGAATAATGCGAATGGAAGGAATCCTGTCTAGTCAGAACCGTAATGCCAGTGCATGGAATGTATAAACCCATGTGAAAAAGACAGTGGTTTTCCTGGCTGTGAGATGTGCATTGTATTACACAAAAACATATTACAAGCCTGAATCGCAGACAGACAGACAGAATCATGGCAGGAAAGTATCAGAACCCAAGAGCCTGTATTTAGGATTTTTTTTCCCCATGTATGCCTATGATCATCCTGCCTGAGAGTGAACCTTCACCTGTTGCTGAAGAATTTAGAAATTAAAAAGAATCGAGGAAGTTTATTTAAGTTGGAAGCCACTCAAGAAATTTACTTTATGCAATTCAATACAGGGCAGGACACACTGCATACTTTCATACATGGGACTTCTACTGATGTCCAAGTAGAATATGTCCCTAGAGGGGTTGCAAGAAAATGATCCATCCAAACAAATGCTTCTGAATTCTTAGACAGACTTGGAGATAGAGAGAGCGAGAGATAATATCTGACGTTGGTTTTCTTTGCTTGTCACTTCCCCCACCCCATCACTTTCTTCCATTAATTTATACAGTTTATTTCCATTAAAATATACATTGATTGGGGGGGGGGGGAGACACACTTCACAGTATTTCTAATCACATTAATTAGATCACAAATAACATTAATAAGAAAAAAACCCAGAGGAAGATACACTTACCCTGTGCGTTTAGTGATGGTCCCCAAGGTCATTGGCTGTTTGATTTGAGCAAGAGGTACCACCACAGTCAAACTCGGGAGCGGCAGAAGGCGTGGATTCCCAGGGTTATTGTTTGTGAAATTATTGTACGTGTCCTGGCTGTTCAGTTTACCTTGATGGGATGAAGACATTAACAAACATGTTACTGGAAATTTCTCCCAAGTTGTTGTTTCTGATAACTGTGTGAAATTAAAGATTAAAAAACCTACAAAAACAAACTTCTGCCGCTGGGGCAGGGGAGGGGGTGGGAAAAAAATCACAGAATTCACCGGGAAGCCAGAGAAAATATATGGAAGTAGTTAAAGCAAAAATAAAATTATTTTTCATGTATAAGGGGATGGGCTACAGTTTCTCCCACATTAACAAAGTAGGTCATGGTGCTGCTGTTCTACTGAGCAAGTTTCAAATTGAAATTTCAGAAACCATTCTGCAAAATAGATTCAAGATCCAAATTCTTTATGAAAAAAGGGAATAATCTTAAAAAAAAAGAAAAGGAAAAAAAAAGGACATTTGTCCTGCAGCACCTCCTAATGCACTTTGCATTGAAAAGTGCTGAAAAGGTCACGTCTGTGGTCTCTATGCATGAAGGTACACCACGATAACAACAGTCCGCTGCACCGAGAAGACCAAACTCACAATTAGTTATATATGTGTAAAGAAAAGAATACAATTAAACTAAAACACCAGAAAAAGCAACCAAGAGTTTATTGGTAAAACAGACGAACTCCGCTCTCCCTCAAAAAAAGAATAAACTAGCAAGAACAAAGGCAGTTAGGAAAAAAAAAAAAAAAGGAATAAAAGACACTAAACTTAACTTGTTTCAAATTTCTAAGACAGGAGGTCTGTGCTGGATACACGCCCAGTTCAGTTATGCTTCCTTACTTTCTGTATCATTCTGTAGTCACAACCTTTCATTCTTCAGTTAGAAAAGGAAACTAGCTACAAATTTCATGGCCGGTAGGGAAAGAAATGTAAAGAAACCAAAGAAAGAAAGAAACTAAACAAAAAGGGGCCCGTCTGTTTATAGCAGAATCAAAGTACTTTACATAGACAAGCAACCGTGAATTAAAAGGTTTAGATCATTAACTTGTTTTTCTGTGTCCCTATAATACTGTGAAATGCTGGCTTTGTCCTTAATCAAAAGGGAGCCATATTGGGAATTAGGTTCCTAAACAACTGATGCATTCTGCATCGATATTATACAAATCCCAGGCCAAATCCATACAATCCTGACTTGAGTGCAGCCACCTTTTTTTCAGGGAAGAATAACAGCAAAGAAAAGGGTTTCTCACAGGAAGCAAGCTGAAAAGCTATAATGGTACTTCAGATGGATTGAAGATAGGAAAAGGAAGGCGGAAAAAAACTTAATGAATGTCTCATCTTCCTAAAGACACTCAATGCTTCCTTTGCCCTCCTTTTAATACTATATAACCGTAAGCTTGGGGTTTTTGTTTGTTTTTCTACAAAGTACTTGGACCTTTGCAGCAACAGAAAATAAAACAAAACCAAAAAAAAAAAAGAGAGAGAAAAAAAAGATGAATTTGCAAAGTGTATTTTGGGTTAGGTATCCGGTTTAGGCGTTATTCAATATATTTTAACAGAAATAGCGGGGCTTGACTGAATAATCAGACCACTGAATGGTTTCAGGGTATGGACTTCATTTGTAATTGTAGCGATTTTCGTGCAGTAACTTGAAAAGAAAGAGAAAGAAACAAAGAAAAAAATGTGTTTAAATTAAGACGGTGGAGAAGAAAGCAAGCAAGCAAGCGAGAAAGCAAGCTAGAAAGAAACTTTGATTAAATTTCCTTCATGATTCATCCTTACTTCATGTGGAAAGAGTGCATAAAATAAGTTTTCTGTCTTACTGATGACATATAATAGTAACTAATAAGACAATGCCATCAAGCTCCTTTTTTTAAACTGTATTTCACTGTCCTGCACTGACTATAAGAGAGCAGAGAATGATACCTAAAAAGACAGCTCTAAAGAGCTACACTTTGTGGGTTTTTTCCTGTTAGGAATATAATAATGGGTGATAAAACCCTACATACCAAAACTAGTGACATTATTCATCTCCCCATCACAGCCATTATTTTGTTTTTACATATAAAGACATGCATCGTTATTCAGCACACCCAAATTTCAATGTTAAACAGCAATTAGTTATGGCCCTAGTCCACACACCTTTGCAATGCAAAACTGGGATTCGTCAGTGCAGAGAAAGTGAGGATTTTTACATTAGGTTCATACTCTGCAAGGTGCTCGCTTAATTTCCATTCAAGCTGAAGAATCCCCCGGCTACTAGAGAACAGTTACCAGCTTGCAGGATCGGGTCCTCTCTCCGTTTTCTTAAAGACATCAATATATGCCCAAATCAGAGCTGTAATAAAGTCTAGGGACATATTGCTGACTTTTTCAATATATTTTAAATAATCATATTGTAAATCAACGATTTCTCCAGTCCCACTAATAATAACGAAGGGAAAGATGTTAAAACGAAAAGAAAATATGCTAAAACACAAAGGGAAATAAAAATGTCTAAGGGGGACAGCTCAGTGAAAATAAAATACAGGATTCATTCTCAACGCATTTGCAACTGCTTTGGAAATACAATAGAGCAGTTTTTGTCTACTTTTTTCAGAGGCAATACACAGAGAATTGTTGCTGTGCACCTTAATTTTGTTCCTCTTTAAATCATAGCGAGCGCTGTGCAGAAAGCCCTTCCACTCGGGACCAGCAAAGCAGTGACCCTTGATTCTGTCGAGTTTGTTTTCAAGAATCTGCTTTTCACTTCTGAAAAGCACCTTGAAAACCAGTGCTTACATGCACTCATTTCTGTTGCTCTTCGTGCAGAACGTTAGATGTGATATTCGCTGTAAACACTTTCACTTTAAAACTTCAGCAACGCTAGCTGGCATTTCAACCTGTCCTACTGTAAGGCGCGATCATTTTAACCTGTTGCAGGTACCCTGAACAAAAAAAGACAAGTATGCATTGCTGGGAGTTGAAAATTATAGTACTTGTATTAATCGCATTCAAGTTTATTTACTAGCACTGTCTAATGGGTGAATGAAGATTTGGACCCTCCCCAGCGTGCAGCAGGGAGTTACCATCTATTAGAGTTGAAAGATAGGCGCTAAGTAGGGAAAAGGCTGACTTGTTCATAATTCCTATGGGAGAAGTACATTCAAATTCAGATAGCCTCGTTTTTGAAATACAACTTCATTGCTTGAAAGGATACACCTTTAAATTAAAACTGAAGCCACCTGTACAACAAAATGCTTATCGCTTCACAGCAGAAATAAAGTAGAAGTGTCAGGCCTGGCACATGCATCAATTTAAATAATCTCTCTCCTACCACCAAATACCCAATGTCTATCAATCTGCACTTGCTGTTATGTGAAATGTAGCTGCCTAATTTGGAAAATACATTTCACTAACCCCAGTACTAATCAGAAATTAAGAGCTAGAATACTGCATAAAAAGAAAAAAAAAACCCAAAGAAAAAAATATGTTACTTATGCAACAGTGAGCTTTTTTTTCCCTTGAAAATTTGACCGTTCAATAAACTGTGCTTTGTGCAGATGCACTGGGTGAGGAAAAGTGCTACTTACATAAAAGTAGTATAATAATATTAGCTTTCGTTTTCAATGAATGACGTTTAACTATTTGTACCATAAAAATGTTCTATACAGTGGCATCTCTATTGTATGGAAAACGTTGCCTCAGACCCATCATAAAGATGCAACCTTGACTTCTTAATTGCATAGCCTTGGGATACAGTAAATGCACTCTGTGACAAGGATTGTTTCTTTATCGTGCATTCAGCAAGAGCTACATTCACTACTGGAATAAAGTGGTATTCTACAGATTATATTTAACAGATTTTTATTTTTATTTTTTTTTTGCAAACTTGACGGTGTGCTATTGTATCTGTCCAAGAACTCAATAAAAAATTACCCCGGTCCTCCAGCCTTTCGAAGCATGCAACTCCCCTTGCGGTAAATGGGAGGTCTGTGTGCACAGGACAGTAGGATCAGGCCAAAAGAGCACAAAGAATGCAGTCAAGCATCAACATTGTTTCCACAGCTCCAGCAGTTGTTGATTCACAGTCAAAGGACCCAGCAACAAATAAGCCACAAGTTTAAGTCTTCTAGAAATATCAAACGCATTTTCACCGAAGAATCTGGTGCAAATCACTCTGCAGCATGTGTGCTGCATCTATGAATGTGTGCATAGGAGCAAGTAGAGTTTCTTATGCTGAAAAGCAGAACTTAATTGCAGAGCAGCTGTCCTAAAAACCGAGAACTGAACTTGGAGATCTGTGCTAACTACAGAAGCTTGTTTTCATACTGAGAATTGCAAATAAATCTGGCAGGGTATTATTGCCCGATTGCCTTTTCCAGGAATACTTCCTATAGCATTCACTCAGACAGAGTTTTTAAAAATCCCCCACCCTGCAAACACGCAGACATACAATCCTGGCACCTTCTTGACAGATGTGCCCTCTCGAGGGCTGGAGGCAGGACATTTTTACTCAAGTGTCCCTAGCAGAGGAGCTTTTTTTTTTCTCCTTGGTGATCTGCCAGAGCCGGAGCTCACTGACCTTCAGAGCACAGCGCAAGGAACATCTTTTTGGTCAAATATTTGTCTGCCTGTGAATTGTCACCGGACAGGTTTTTCTTACGCGAAGCTTAAAAGCTCGGGAAGGCAGCCTGCTTCTGCCATTTGTTGAGGGCAGTCATCTCCCTCTCCCTCCCCCTCCCCATCTCATACACCATCTCATTTTTCTGCATTTCTGCCCTTCCAGCTCCAGTCAGGGCGAGACTTCGCAGAGCGCTGCAAGAACGGGAGAGTTCACAAAAATTCCCAGCCAGATTTTACAGATTCAAAAGTCTGGAGAAAGATCCAAGCCCTTAAACTAACCCAAACTCAACCCCCAAACCTCTTGGGGGTCTTCTGCTCTTAATCCAAATTCATGTTTGTTAACCAGATTTCCATTGCTGAGACGGGTTCTCTTGTTCAGTCAAAGCTGTTGATACGACTTTGCATCTTATCTACAATTTCTTTCACAGACACGGAGAATAAAGCATGGATTTGGAAGGGGGGAAA